TTATAATTTATTTTAATAATTATAGAAAAAATATAATTTTTTAAAAAGTGGGCTAGCCCGGCAAGCCTGTAGCCCACGTACTTGTGGGCTGGGCCGACCATTTTCTGGCCCACACTAAAAATGGGCTAGCCCGGCCTGACCCGTAAAATGTCAAAGCCTGTATGGGTTAGCCCGGATGGGGTGGGCTAGCCCATATTGACAGCTCTAGTCAAATTAATTAATGTCAGTATAATCCCCTAATTTTTCCCTCTTTTTGGTTCACTTTGTATTAGACAAAAACACATCCTAGATTATTATTTCTAACAGGACAACGTTATTTTTAGGAGAGATTTAGTACTTCATAGTTTACTAGAACTATACAAAGAGGAAATACAGAAAAGGAAAACATTAAAAAGGAAGAGAATCAATCAAAATTATCTACTTAATATATGGAGACTAATTAATAAAGGAACCATTGATAAGTTGAACATTTGTCAACTATTTTCGCAACAAAATAGTAATGACAAAGACATTCTTGTGTTGATTTATCAAATTTATCGTTTGATATTTGATTAATTCAGATTCATATAAAAAAAATTATTTTTCAATGGTAAAATAGTGTCTACTGAAAACTGCTTTGGCTAAAACGTTATATCTCATGCTAAGGTCACGCTTAGAAAATCACTTAGTGGGGCTCCCAAAAATACTAAAAAATGTTAGGTATGTGAGTAGGTGATATAGTAGGAGGGCGCAATTAATATTGGAGCCAATACAAGATGTTAATAAAGTCTATAATTCCTAAGGAACCATACAAACATTTTAAAAACTAGTAAACAACTTTTCATATGTTGCAATCGAAAAACAAATTAACAACCCCCCCCCCCCACCATCCACCACTCCAAAAAAAATAAACCCCCCCCCCCCCCCCAAACCCGACCCTCCTTTGAGATGGATATATACAATAAAATTTGCTTAAATCCTACAAAAAATTGAGAAGAATTAATAAATTTTAAATTTTAATTCCGCGTAAAAAGAATACTCAAAATAGAATATAATTAGTACCTAAAGAAGGGTCAGAATATGAACTGTGTATCTTGTGTGCTTTGATGTTTTTGGTACATCAAATATGTGGTGTTCCCAATCTCTACTGCTGAATTCTTATCTTCACTCTCAATTTTTGTCCTTTTGAGCTTGTTGTCTCCTCAAATTTGGCTTATTTTATTTCTACTTTTGAGAATGCATTTTACCAATACTCCCTCCGTTTCTAATTACTTGTCCATTTTTCTTTTTATAGTTGTCCCTAATTACTTGTCCATTTTGACAAATCAAGAAAGAACAATTTTTTTTTACCTATTATACCCTCAATTAAATGATTAATTACTTTGAAAAATATAGAACTTTTCATTCACTTCATAATTAATAGGGGTAAAATGATAAACTCACTATGTCATTAATTGTTTTCTTAATTGGTGTGTCAATTCAAAAGTAGACAAATAATTAGGGACAGAAGGAGTATTAATTAGGCCATGTTTGGATATAAATGCATCAATTTCGACATTTCACATTGTTATCCAGAACATCCCAGAAGGATAGATGAGAGGAGACGTTTGTCCATATATTTGTTTTTCCTTTGCTTTCTAACTTTTTTTTTTCTTCCTTTTTTTAAAAAAAGAAAAAATATTTAGTTATACATTGGTTGAAGAGTTTTGACCTTTTCCAAATACTACTTCAATTTTCATTTACCCCTTTTCAACTTAACTTTACATATATATATATATATATTTTGAAAAGAAATATTACATTTTTATGTCCAAACATTTTGTACATGACTGAAAGTCGACATGTAATATATATATATTAGACTTTAAACACTTTAAATGAATTTTTTTATTTCGCATTTTATCGGCTTAGGATCTCCAATGTTAGATTCGTCAAAAATACATTTTTGACGTGAGTGATTAAATTGTTACGTGAATAGTAACTTAAAAAAATAGTAGTATTTAATATGAAATCTTAAATCAAATTATGGTGATTACATTGATGTTCTTGAAATTGTATGATTAAATGATCCAAGAATATTAGGTCACTGGAATATTCTGAATTCCTCAAAAACTAAGTTGATTGTGGAGGAATATGGATAGTGGGACAGTCGAAAAAACCAATTTATTTTTTTAACTTATCATCTGCAGTTGTTATAATTCCAAAAAAAAAAAACAAAAAAAACAAAACAAATGATGTTGCATTATAATGGCCACTCTTTTATACTGTCTACAAGTGGGACACATAGCAAACCTTCTAGCAACAACTACTTTATCATATTCTCCTAATTTATCTAATTGAACTTTTCAGTTAGTTTCGTAATTTAGATCATAGTATCTTTTAGGAGTATATTGCAAAAGCAGTTCACTGGTCAAAATATCATTGATTAAATTAAAAAGCTATACAAAATTATTCGACCTTTGAAAGTTCAAACAATTCCCAATGCTAGCTATTTCTATACTCTATGTATATTTTTTCTAATTTATTTTTTGTGTATTGATATGAATAAAGGATAAAATAGTAAATTTGATCAATTTATTAATGATTTCTTATTCACGATGTAAAATACTAATTTCCCATCACGGAGTATTTTTCAAATACATATTTAATACTCCTATTTGTTTTATCTATGTTTGAGTCCTATTTATTTGACAAAAAAAATATTCATAAAAGTATATTTTCAGTTTAAAATTTTATTTATTTATGAATGATTTTAAAATATTATTATGTCTTTTTGTATTTCTTTTAACTCCGTATAAAGTACAAATTTCTGTAGAAAAGAAAGGATTGAGATGACTAGAACAATTTCAACAATAATTTTCATTTTTTAACTTAAAAAGGGATTAGCTATTTTGAGATAAGTTAGTTTATTTTTGTACAATAATGGGAACACATAAAGTGGGGCCCGCCAATTGACTCTCAAATAGTTTTGGGCTTCCAATGGGCTGTTATTGGTGGGTTTGTCGGTGGAGTATGATAATGATAGCTTACACAAAGATTAATCGAGTTTTGATGGAATGGTAAATATTCATTTATTCTTAATCAAAACGTCTCGAGTTTCAATCCCTTTGGATACAAAGTTGCCTTTGTTAGGAAATACTTTATCCAATATGAAACTTTTTAATGCAAATTCAAATTTAATCGAACTTTAATATGAATACGAAACACGGTGAAAAACAAAAAAAAAGATAGCTCCCATAAAGATCTCTCTCCTCTCTTTGATAGACTTAGGGTCCGTTGGCCATGCGATATGATATCATGATATGAAATCATGAGATGAAATTAAAGTTTTATTTGGATATGTGATATGAAATTTTTGTGTTGTATATTTTCTTATAAACCTAAAAAATCTCATAAGTTGTAAAACTATTAAAATAGCCCAATTGTTTATTCAATCTTATCAAATAACAAAAATTTCTAAAAATCGCATAATAAATTATTACAAAAGCTATTTGTTCTCCACTTAAGTAATTGTTTCATATAACTTTAATTTAATAAAAAAAATTAGAACATAAATTGTAGTGTACTAGTCTTTAATATAATCCTCCCACATAGTACAGACAATTTCCTCACGTTGAACTTGCATTTCTCGATCATGTGACCGAGAAAACGAACCAACATTGCTACTTTGAGCCATTTATTGGATAATATCATCGGCAACTATATTTTCATGCTCATAGACCATAAATATTTCATCACTTTAACAATCGGTTGGTGTGAGTTAAAGTGACTATATGTTGGTAAGAATAATAAATTTTATGTTGGTGAGAATAATAAATTTTAAAAAGTAATGATGTGATTTTAAATTTTATTTATATATGAAATAAATGGTTAGTAGATATAAATGTGAGATTGTTTTAACAAAATATAAACTCGTGAATCAATTTTTGTATTAAAATATCTCAAATCATGATATGAAATTAGCATATAATTCCATATAATGATTTTTGGAGAATATGAAATCACATTTCATGATATGAAATCAGCAATGATATGAAATCAGCATAAAATTGCATATCCAAACGCTGATTTTATCTCACGATATCATATCGTGATATGGTATCGCATGGTCAAACGCCTACTTAAAAGTCGAGACTCATCACATAACCAAGGAACCAACCAACCACCACCAATTCTCAATCTCTCAAATCTCTATTTTTTATTTATAGAGAACTTTTCTAAGTTGGGTTAAAAAGTTGGAAATTTTGAAGTGTTTGAATTATAATTGTTGAAGGAAATGGAAGCTCAGTTTATTGAAAGATACCATAGTCATCAGCCTAGTGAAAATCAGTGTTCATCATCTCTTGTTAAACACATCAAAGCACCAGTTGATATTGTAAAGATCATATCTTTTTTAGAATTATTCTCTTGATTTGGGAATATTTTTATTTTGTGGGGTTGGGGGTTCTTGAGGATTTCTCTTATTTATTTCTAGTTATAGGATATTGGGTTTGTATAAGATGATATCTTTTTGTTCTATCTTTTCCTTATTTGTTGAGATACTAATATTTTGGTTCCGTGTGTGTTTATTTGTGGAAAGTAATGTTTGTTTGGTAAGTTTTCTTTAAAAGTTTTTTTTTTTTTTTTGGATTTCTTAGCTAACTATTGGTGACTATGAAATTTTGATCAGATTTTCGAAGTCTCGTAATTCCATATTCAAATATTTTTCAAGTTCCCAAATCTGGATAGGATTTGTGGGACTTCCAATCAGAGAAATCTATGGACAAACGGTAGCTTATCGAAATTCTTTCTTGGTTGAGGCAATTATTCTGTAAAAAACAACTGAAGAAACAGTTACAATATATGTTTTTGACGTGGATAGATATCCTTCCTCAATTTACCGTAAGATAGCCTTTTAAAATATTTGGGGGATTCCAAGATTGTATGGATGCATGATATATTGAATTTTATTATCATTTTGTTAGGTTTTTTTTTTCTTGTTAATCTGATATTTGCTGTTTTTTTTGTTTATTTTGCATTTGAGTTCTAACATCTGATTGTTGATCTTGTTGTAGGTTTGGTCACTAGTGAGGAGATTTGATCAGCCTCAGAAGTATAAGCCATTTATTAGCAGGTGTACTGTGAAGGGTGATCTTACAATTGGTAGTGTTAGAGAGGTGAATGTCAAGTCTGGTCTTCCAGCCACCACTAGCACTGAAAGATTGGAACTTCTTGATGATGAGGAGCACATCCTTGGCATCAGAATCGTTGGTGGTGATCACAGGCTAAAGGTATGAGTTTCTTCTAGAAGCACAATCCCTTAAATATGATGAAGGTGAAGATTAGCTAAATTTCAGTTACATTTTAGAAGCATCCTACAGTAAAACAGTGTCCTGATGTCTATATAAGAGCATGTATATGGATTAAGAAGGTTTAGTTTGAGGGGTGGCTCTTTAAGTAGGGGGAAAAAGAGTGTTGTTTATACCACTTCGGACTTTTCACTTGTTTTATAAACATTAACATGATCTTTAAACACCATGTTAGGGGTAAGGTCTACAATCTACGTACATACTACCCTCTCCAGGCCCCACTTGTGAGATTACACGGGATATGTTACGTTGTTGTTATTGACTTATTGTTGTAGTAACTTGTTACATGATCGTAAAATTTGTTCATATCAATGTTAAGTTAGAAAGTTAAGATATCAAATGAATTGGCATTAGATGTTTTATCTTCTATGATATCTATTCTAGGTTCTGATGATTACTCTTGAGCGGTTTTAACAATTACTGCTTTTAGACAAGTATGCTGATAAAGGATTATACACACATCTACCAATTAATTGATGGAGTCATTAAGCTAATTTCTGTGGTTGTGTTTGGCTGTAGTGCCAAGGTTCTGTAGTGTTTGGTAACTTGCATTCACCTTTGCTTATTTTAAGCTTGTTACATTTGCAAAATCTTCAGGAGTCTTTTCTTAACTAAGCTACTTCCTATATCTGTCTTTATACTAAAGCATCTAGCATGTCTAACCTGGTGTTATACTTTTATCAACTTTTTGCAGAACTATTCTTCGGTTATTACAGTTCATCCGAAGACACTTGATGGTAGACCGGGGACACTGGTGATTGAGTCATTTGTAGTGGATGTGCCTGAAGGGAACACTAAAGAGGAGACTTGCTACTTTGTGAGGGCCTTAATTAATTGCAATCTGAAATCACTAGCTGATGTATCTGAGAGAATGGCTATGCAGGGAGGTGTTCTACCCGTCAGTGTGAACTGGTCTTCTAGTAACCAGATCGAGACATGAAATCTTTGGGGCTATGCATAGATTTGCAAGAAGCTAGGCTTCAGCCTCTTTGAAATTTGCTTCTGCTTGTAATCTGTCTAGACTTTTATGCATCAACAGGGCGTGTATGGTGTATCCTGTTATCATGCAAGTTTTATTTATGGAGGTTTTGTTTTCTTTTACTATCTTGCGGTTCTCATGATGGTGTTTGAGGGTCTTTTCATATTCTGTAAATACTTCTGTAAGGTAGTGCTGATCAGCGACTTGTTTTGAGCTGGTAGATGCAACTTTTAGCTTGCGAAAATTATGGGCGGAATATTTGCAGCTTGTTTCCAGAGCTTTGTATATATAAAAGTTGTAGAACTCTTATCTGGACTAGAGTAAAGAAGAGTGATTTTCCTTTATTATTATCTCATGTTTGCTTTTGCTCGCTGTTATACCATACTTGTGTTAGAAACTAAGAATATGGTTCAACCAGGTTTCATCTCCAAATTTTGTGCTGATATTGAGACTGCTCAACCTCAGAATGTAATTCGCGTGTAGGTAGTGCTGTCTGTTGTCTGGTCAACTCTTATCTTTTCACTGAATTTGCTTCACGTGAGTCTTTCATGCTCGTTAAATAGAGAAAAAAGATACATGTATCTGAATCAGATAATTACACTCGCATATCAAGTATACAAAAAGGCATAACCAGAGTCCATGTCACATATTTATATCGTCTGAGATTGTGTGAAGTTAGGACTACATATCATTTGAATTTGATAGTCACTACTTTCCACTCTACTGCCAACTTATGTCCAATCTCAGAAAGGGGTGTCTTCACGCAATTGAGCTTAAGGATTTAAGCTGAGTTTTGACTATGATTGGATTAATTAGGTGTTGACGTGTTGAGGATGATAAAACTTTATGAAATGTTGTTGGGAGTGAAACATTAGGGAGGACTTTTCTGCCCTTTCTTACAGGGAATAGCAATAGAGGAAATTTGGAACACTTCATTAAAAAGAGTGGTTATCAGTCATTTTTTCATCTCTTATCTTGTTCCTATGATCCTATCTATAGCACACAGTTGTCAAATTTGCATAGGCTGTCTTCCTTTTCATTAGTAAATTATGGATAATTTGATACTGGTGTATGAAAAAGGTAACAGTATCTTCATCAGCAAGAAGATAGTTGGTGACTATTGTGTTCTGACTTAAATGGAGCACAATGGAGAGCAAGGATTCAAATGGGCATATGGATAATTTTTTTGATAACTCGTGGAATTAGAACATGAGATCTCATAGTTCTCAATCCACTTCATGACCATAAGGCTACACACTCACAACCTTGGGTGCAAAGCTCCAATAATCATTGGCTCCTATATTAGATGGAATGGGGACTAGAAATGAAGCTTAAGGTTTATAGGTTGCTCAAATGCAAAAGGTCAAACAGTCGATTTTCAATAGGTAATTGGGATTGCCATAAGACATTCTCTATAAGCGAAGGTGTGCTACCTGCATTAGTATTTTAACATGAGTTGTTGATGATTAATATCATAAGTTGAAAATATCATACTTGAAGAAGGTAAATGATTGACCAAAGGGTGGCTGTAACTGTTATCATCTATGTTTATCACACTTCCCTTTGACAAAAAGATATGCTAGTAAGTAAGAAAGAAATAATCTGTGAATGAAGAAAATCAAACCAATATAACATGCAGCTGCATTTTGATTGAGGGTGCAAAGCTTCCAAGAAAGTGAATCATCCTAATTTCTTTCCTGAAGAGGAATCAAGGGAATCGTTCTGGGTTCATAACGATGAATGGCTAATACACAGTTTTACTGTTAAATAGACCGCGTTATGAGTACATTAATTTCCCCCTTCTCCTTTGAGATCTCTTAGTAGTGCTATGATTAAGTAACCTGTCTTCTTACCCTTTCTATTGTTAACACTTTTCAATAGAGTTAGAACTGTGAGATATTGTTCCTCTCCTTTTGTGCCAGATAGCTACAAGCTGCAACTTTTCAGTTGACCTTTAGAGATAAATTGAAGAACAATTGGTAATTGATGAACTCGTTTCAAAGAGTTCCATACAAAAATGATAGCTATTTTTTTATAATAGTCTTTCCAGGAAAATGCAAATATATAGAGAAAAGGAAAGAAACACTAATATGAACATAAAGAAAAATTCAGCAAGAGTTCTTAACTCTCCCCTCTCTTCCTTGTAACCAAACATGGTGTGAAGAAAATAAATCCGAAAAGTCATTTCTCATAAACAGACTGAACGTTTTGCTCAACTTTGCCTCTAAACAGTTTTGATGTTTGCTAATTGCTACGAAGCAAGGGTTGTCATGAGACTGGTATAGTTTGATAGTCTAGAGACTTACTGTTTACTAAGATCTATTGATAAATTAGATGCTACAGTATTGCTAGTAAATGAGTGCAGAACAAAATATGGATAAATAACATGGGAATCATCATACTATAACAATTATGTACTCACTCTAAATAGAACTACAGAATCGTTTCTTTTTGCAATAGAGAGATCAAGCTCTCCGGCTAGGAGATATTATAACACTTAAACTGATTACAAGTATCACTGTATTCACGACATTTGTCCAATACCTATGAAGTTCATATTAACAAAAAAGAATTACATTTACAAAAGTGGTGCAACACAGCATTTGTTTTCTGTTATAGGAGAATAAGATGTTCTGCATACCTCTACCAGAAGTCACAGCAAGAACACTTACCATCCCTAAAATGGTGAAAGCGGACACCATCTTTTAGGAAAATCTCTTGCCTTCTCAGCAACGACATATATTTTGCAACTGTATGACAGTCTGAACATATTCTAGTGTTGTTGATCACTCTAATAGGTGCAGGACTTGTGGTCCTGATCAATCCATATGTAATTGCCAGTTTCTCTGTGTGACCAAGCAGCGCCTTTTCTTTCTCTACTTCAGAAATGTTCTGAACAACACATTTAGTATCAGGTTTATATCCCAACTTTTTCATCTCAGAAATTAACTTGTACAACTCAAAGAATATCTCTCCTTCTTCTGGATGAGTTTTTCCTGCTGTAGAGAAGATGTGAATCCTCTGATCGACTTTTAGCCAACTCCATACTGGTCCGATTTTCACTCCCATAGCCTCCATCTTGTCTCTGATACGGTCAACATCCTTCCATCTGTTTGAAAGTGCATAGAGGTTCATCATTAAGGCATAGTTAGCTGCATTATATGGTTCTAACTTGAAAAGGTGTTCAGCTGCAATCTCTCCAAGCTCAACGTTTCCATGTATCCGGCATGATGTAAGAAGAGCACCCCAAACAGCTGCATTTGGCTCCATTGGCATTGACTGAATAAAATCTGATGCTTCATCAAGGTAACCGACTCTTCCCAGAAGATCAACCATGCATGAATAATGCTCAATTGTGGGGATAACTCCAAAATCTGTCTTCATATGATCAAAGTATTTCCAGCCTTTATCAAGAAAACCAGAATGTTTACAACTAGATAGAAGAGCTATAAATGTTATGGCATCTGGTTGGATGTTTACTTCTCTCATCCTATCAAAGAGTGAAATTGCCTCTGTACCTAAGCCGTATATAGCAAATCCGGTTATCATGGAATTCCAGGAAGCTAAAGTTTTGTCCTCAAGGTTTTGGAAAACCTTCTGGGCATTTTCTAAGTTCCCACACTTACTGTACATGTCTATGAGAGCCGTAGATACGTACACATCATCTATAAAATCGTTTCGTATACACAGGCAATGTATCTCTTTCCCAATGTGTAACAAAGAGAGACCTGCACATGCTTGAAGTAAGCTTGCAACAGTAACTGAGTTGACTTTGATACCTTCATCCTGCATCTGCGTTAAAAACTCAAATGCTTCTCTGAAGTATCCTTGCTGTGAACAACCCGATACTAAAGAGGTCCATGAAATGACGTTAGGAGACATGCCAGAACTCTTGATCCTTCTAATCATACCCAAAGCTTCCTTGATACAGTTAGATGTTGAATAACCAGAAACCATGCTATTGTATGTCACTATATCTGGTTTAATCCCTTCTTCCTTCATCTGATCCAAAAGATCACCAGCTTTTTCAAAATTTCCTTTGCAGGAATAACCCGAAATTAATGAATTCCAAGCACAAACGTTTCTGTTTGTCATACAATCAAAAACAGCTTGAGCAGATTGCAAATCATCATTCTTCACATACATGTCTACTAGTGAAGTTGCAATATGCAGGTCATAGTCAAATCCATTTCTTAAAACATGGCAATGAATCTCCTTCCCAATTCTCAAATATCCTAATTCACTCACTGCTTGAAGAGCACTAGTTATAGAGTTGCGATTTGGCTGATAACCAGCACTCTGCATTCTCCTCACAATTGCCAAAACTTCTCGATAAGATCCATGAAGAAAATGACCAGATAAAAGGCTGTTCCAGGTTATTATGTCCGGTTTTATGTTGCAAGTTTTCATTTCATGAAATAGCTCCCACGCATCATCAAGATAACCAAGTGCAGTATACCCCGATATAATACTGTTCCAACAAGGAAGATTACGATTGTCTGTTGAATCAAAAACTACTCTAGCAAGTTTGATATTGTCATTTTTCACATACATGTTGATCAGTGCAGTACGTATGAGTATATTCGAATCTAAGGCATATCGGATAACATACCCGTGAATCTGTTTTCCTTCATCAAGAGCTCCCAATTTCCCACAGGCTTGCAAAACTTTGGAAATGGTTAAACTATTGGCCTTCACAAGTAACGCCTGCATGTCGCGAAACATTTGTAGACCTTCTGCCCATTTTTCATTCCTCAAATTAACCAGAATGGCTTCATTCCACAATAAAGAGTCATGCATTGATGTTTCTTTAAAGACCTTATTAGCACTCTCAGTCCCACAACACCTCCCATAAAAATTCATCAGTGCACATTTTGTATAGACATCTAAATCAAAACCCCTCTTGATCAGACAAGCATGGACTTCCAATCCTAACCACATATCTCTTAACTTTGAACAGATTTTCAAAACAAAAGCTAGAATTTCAGTGTTAAAGTTCACTCCTTTGCTATGCAATTCACTGAAAACTTCAAGAATTTCACATGGGGTTCCTCCAAAATATGTATATTCTTCAAGGAAAGAATTCCAATACAAATAATTCTCTGCAAACCCCACAAAGAATAACACTGCAGCTGATTGAAAATCACCAAATTCCAAGTAACCTGAGATAAAATACTGCATATTTTTCTTTGTATCCCAGTCATTAGACAATTTTATCATCTTGGCATGCATAGCTCTTACTGAATTTAGTGAGTTGAACTTCTTTTCATAATCAAATTGCAATGAAGAAAGTGATTCAAGAGAGGTTGAGGGTGAAGATTCAGAAAGTGTTTCTGCTGCATTTACAAGGCCAAAATTTGTGGAATAGCATCTTGGTTGCTTTTGGGTGAGTGACTGATGAGAAGAAATGAAGTGGTACAATGGAGTAGCAGCAGCCTCCATGGTGAATTTTGAGCTTGAAGAAAATTATGGCATCTAAGGTTAGTTGATTATGGAAAAATGACAGTTTAACGAATAGGATTTGGAGGGGCTCTAACAAAAACTACTAGAAGGAAAAAAAAAACAGAGGGAAATAAATTCTTATGATAGAAAATCAAGAATCTACTTTAATGGATAAGGTTATCTAGTGTGTACTTTTTAGATAATTGTAAATGAAAAATATAAAGTGGACTCTCCATACCCTAAAAGGATTTATTTTTTCTTTTGTTTCCTGGAGGATCTTCCAAAGGAAATAACAAAAGCAAAAAAAAAAAAGAATGGGCAAAATCAATGAAAGTTTTATTTCGGATGAGGTGCATCAACAACAATAAGATACTCATTGAAATTCCACTGGAGTCTGGTTAGAGTTGAGTGTACGCAGACCTCTCCGAAGTAGAAAAAAGACATATAGAAGAGGTGCATGATTTATTTTTTTATTCCTCTAGAAAATCATTAGCCAACTACATCTCAATTCCAAATCTAGTTATTTAATTATTTGAATTTTCTGTATGTGTTCGATTCTATTGGAGCCAATTTGTCTTCCAAAACCAAATCTTTATGCAATGCCTCCTCATTATGAAACACATTACAATTCTGTGGAGATGTTGAATAGCTACCACCAGAGAGAAGAGATCAACATACACCAAGGAAGAAGGAATACGACCAGCCACTTCCGACTCTAAAGGCAGATTCAGGATTTAAAGTCAGCGAATCACTTGCAAAGGCAGTTAGTGCAGACAAAATTACATCTGCTCCAGCTTTACTCAGTTAAGCCTTAAGATAAAAAAATTCAGGGTTAAAACTAGATCCTCATTCCTCTCTCTCTTGATCGTGATCGTAGAGCACTTTTCCGCCAATTGTACAGCGTTGATCCACCTTAACTGCATAGGAATCAGAAGGCAAAAGAAAAGAGGTGAATTTCACAGTCAAATATTACTGTAACTAATAGATATTTAATAAATTTCTTAATACATATATAAGGCTATTAGGTTCACGTGAGCCCTGAAGAAGAACAGTTTCTTTGTTGAGTCATAATTCTGCAATTATATATATCATGGCAGAATTTATTCACTCTCACTCGAAAGACCTCTAGCATTAGCACAAAAGGCATTTTAAGCCAGAAGCCTTTGAGGGAGAGTGAAAAAAGACTGTCCTGTGAACTGTGAAGAGCAACATAAGTTGTTAAACAAGACACTTGTTATTGGCTCTCCCTGCTAGAGCTTCTTTCCCAACATATAAGCATGCAGGAGAGAAGCCCTTGAGGGAGAGGCAGCAATAAGGGCCCTGAAGAATCTTTAATTAAATGTGTTTTGATTGACAAATTGAGTGATTTAGAGCAGCCTATTTATAGGCAAAAATAAATACTCTTGTTACAGAATAGAAAAAGGGAATTTAGTGGGACCTTGATATCTTGGCTCTTGATATATATGAGTGGCAAAACCAGCTTCTTTTGATTCATAACAGAGACTCATTATAATCTTTGTGTCCATCTGAAGACACAAGTCAACCCCTCGTGATTAAAGAATAAAAGCATCTCATTATCTTCTCTATTTGACCTATTGCCATACGAATATTTCTTGCTATCTTCTTTATCTCAATAATTCTCATTTCAAAACACAATATTCCAATACTTGTACAATTATGGATAAACCTCAACATCTCCATAACACTACAAGAGCCAGTGAGCATACCGGGTAGAAGTATCATTTCCCCTATATGCAGAAAAACGAATTCCCAGCCTTGTTACATCAATTTAGGATGCGTGTAAATATTAAGTGAAGGGTGTGGTGGGATGAACGGAATCCCTCTACCTTTAATTAGAAGTTTTGAGTTTTAGCACTGGAAAAGGGGAGAGTTTCCCCCTTTAATGAATTCCGAGTACTGAATGATTAAACCAACAAAAGTACTGTATGCAGTATGTGTTTTTCCTAAGTTTTACTGTAGCGTATCCAAAAAACACCCACTCTAAACATACCCTTTCAAGTGCATAAAGGGAAATGAAGAATCTATGGAATATAGATTTCCAGTTAACTTTAACCAGCAATTACGCCGCGTCCCCTGAATTGGCCTATAGCTGAAAGTAACTGATCTAATTTTAAAATCAACAGATAGTGCAGAAGGTGGCATGGACTTAAGAAAATTGGATCATAAATATTCTTTTCTAGACAAAGTTGAACATTATATGCAAATATTGTTCGTTTCTATAGGAAAATACATGTAGTGTTTACACCAAGCCAATAAATGTAAAATATAACTCTCGCATATACACTTTTTAATACTTAATCATGATTAAGTGATATGTATTTTCACTTTGATTTATTATTTCTTAAAGTTATTATTTAGTTAAATGTAAACATCTGATGCACGTAAGTTATCCATTGCTTGACGTGGATCACCTTCTACTTGAATCTTGCTTTGTTAAATAATTGTACGATAATCACTGTTAAAGATCAAGTAAATCACTAAATTAATGATCTTCTTTGTTTGGAACCAAAAAAACAAAGTATGAGGTCCCCATATTAATTCCCACAAACAACTAGGTTGCTAGGTTTTATGTTGAAAAGTGGACACATGTTAAGTGTGATAATAAAGAATGATCCAATCGAAGATACGGTTTTGCTTTTTTGATCAGAGTAATATAATAGTAACAGATGCTAAATATTCATGACAATACAGTGGTTGTAACAGTTTTGGATACTGTGGTGAAGTTGCTCAAGAATACAACAACATACCTAGTGAAATCAGGTCTGGGGAGGGTAGAATGTACGCAGAGCTTACTAATACCTCATGGAGGTAGAGAGATTGTTTCCGAAAGACCCTCGGCTCAAGTACAACAAATTTCGGTATAAAGAAGGAGACAATGAAGAGAATATAGCAAATAACAAGAAAACAGTACAAAAGTCTACCAGAAGAGGAGCCAAAACAACAATAAAATCATGTGAAGTTGCTCAAGAATAATGGACTAGAAACATTGGCAGTGAGTCACAAATATCATCAGTAAGTTCCATAATTTGATTAGAAATATAAAAAAGAAAACATTGTTAAGAAGAGTATAGAGAAAACCTTGCAACATTGACTTTATACATAATTATTATAATTGATAATTCTAGAATCCATATCTTTGATATTGTCTGGAGTAGAATCCACTAATGACTAACCAGATAATGTACAAGTGGCAGATATTGCTTGGGCCTTGGGTAGAGTTGGAGATGGTGATCAAGGGAAGAAGACATTTTATTCCACAGCTATTTGCTCACAAGAACAAACACAACATTACTTCAAAGAGATGGCAAAAGAATATATGCCATCATTACTTTTTTCGATTGTATAATCAGAAAATCTATCATAGTTAATGTGCAGGCCCTCCACCCTTCCTCCCTTAAATATCAGACATGGTTGATGAAACAGGTAGTTGCTACCAGGGCCTCGACCCTTCCTCACTTAAATACTAGACTTGGTTCACAAAAGGACTCGAACTTGTAATGTGTGCCTACCAGACAACCTGCCATGTATTATCTTTGTCATTTTACCAATGTCCTAAAGCAATAGGCCATCAATTCGTAAAATGGACAGCTGAGCTAAGCAAGGTTTTTAAAGACTAGCTAAATGCTTATATATTTTGAATTACAACACAAAAGATCACAGTCAATAATCCATGAACACCATGTTGTATTATGTAAAGCTACACTTTACAATAAGGCAAACGATCTAACATATAAAGCTTTTGTGTCTCAATTAGTACAGAACTAAGAATTCACATGCCACTTCCAGCAGAAGCTTATATGACCTGTGTAATGTAAAAGATATTTAACTTACGACAACATCGAACCATAAATCTGATGCAAAGATGCTAAGCCAAGGCCTGTTCAGAGAAAAGAATGTGTAGCCAGGGTGTCAAAAGAATGGAAGAACCTTTTACCCTGGGGACTTCAAACCTTGTGAGAGTGTAATAGGCTAATGCATGAAATAAACTCAAGCACAAACTTATATTTATCACCAGCGTTCACGAGGCCGGCCATCTGGAAAAACAGGGTCCAGAACCTTGTTTTCCTTCTTCATTGCACCATTAACTTGTGTAGTCAGTTTGCCCTCTTCAAGGTTAACGGTACCTTCATCATCACTGAAGTCTGGAGGTATATCATCACCATCATCACTCCAGTCATCATCATCATCTTCATCATCTTCATCTAATCCATCACTCCCTAAGTTATCAATGTCGGACCAATCTTCACCTTCCTCAGCATCAGTTCCATATTTGGACTCAGTTTTTTCTGTTTCATCAGAATCAGTTTGTGGAGTGATTCTCCGGGATCTTGAAATGGAAACAAGGGAGCGAAGCTTTTCCTTGATGAGCAATAACCTGTTCTTTTCTATCAAGTGTGAATCCTGATAAGCTTCACGGAGAAAAACTGAGTCTCGCTCCCCCTTCAAAGAGACATAGAACATATCAGGATGCCTTATCAGCATGCCTCTTAGCTGTTGTGAGAATCTAAATTCTTCCCTAAAATGAGTAAGGTGATCAACAAGAGTCCTTTTCTCAACTGTGAGGCTCAGAAGTTCATGAACCACAGCACATGCGTGTTTTTCTTTGTCCGGAGTACCAGGCCTTATTTCAGAAAAATCCTCGTAAGGAGAAATGTAAGGCATATCTCTAAACTGACTAATCTTTCTCATCTCACCTTTTGAAAGTTTAAGACCCTTAGGCAACTTCACCCTATTGAACCTTGGTGGTCTATCGATGATCAAATCCTTCTCTTCCAACTCTCTTTGCCTATTCTCCTCTTCTGCAATCTGCGCAGCAGACACAGCAAGCTCAGGGTCCCAGTGAGTTAACTCCAGAGCCGGCCCTCGTCCAGTTGGAACTACCTTGAAATATTGTGGATATCGCCTGCAGATTGTATCTTGAAATTCCAACGGAAGCCCTAAGTCAGTCTTCAGATGTGCAATCTTCTCCAACAGAATCCGTTTGTCCAAAGACATCATCAATAGTTTCCTCAACTTGATAACCAACAAATCCTCCATTTCATTCCTAATCTTCATTTCTTCCAAGTAAAGCCTCTCCGCCTCAGGTGTCATTTTGAACTTAAGTGAGTAAGCCCCTTCTTCTGCAATCTCAAACACTCCAGGAAATTTCTTCAATAAACCGATAAATCTCCTTTTCTTCTCCAGACCCAATGCTCTTCTATACCTACCCAATTCACGAAGCGACATAATTCTATCAGGCTGACTCACTAGAATCTTTCTAATCTTCATAACCAATTTCAGCTTCTTATCCCTTTGAATCACATTATCAAAAGGAAGCTCTTTCCTTCTCTTCACAGTACCAGCTGCTCTAATAGAAAAATTGGGCACCTTCCTCAAATTACCTGAAGATTCATTCTTTTGTCTAAAAGATAGACTTTTGCCCCAAAATGGAGTCTTTTCTACCTGGGGTTTCCTTAAATTACATAAAGATTCATTCTTCACTCCAAAAGATAAACTTTTGCCCAAAATTTGAGTCTTTCCAAAATGCTCTGCTGATATAGCCAGATGGGTCACTGGACAAATTCTAGTTTTCTGAATAAAAGATGATTTTTGGGAAACTGAAAAGGGAAAAGCTCCATTTGGAGCAAAGGGTCTTGTTGTCGAGGAAAGAAGAAATTTGGGTTCCATGAGGAGTCCCAATTCTTGATAGAATTAGCAAAGGAACAGATTATAAAACATGAAAACAAGAAGGTTTTACGCAGAATTTAGAAAGCAAAGCTAGCAATTAGTATGTTTTACAACGCAGAATGAGAGAAAGAAAGAAAGAAGAAGGCGACACACTAACCTTCGTGGTTCGAGCAGAGTAATGAATGCTCGAGATGTTGATATGGTTAGGGTTTATCAGAAATACCAAAACCCCGAGAAGAAGATAATATCTGCATCTATCTTCTACGTGGACTTCGGGTGATGTCACTTAACTACTCCATTTCATATTAATTGTCCATCTTACTAAATCAAGAAAATGTTAATTATATTTTTTCTACTTTGTATTAATTTTTTTTTAAAGTGTTTATATTTGTTTGTAAAACTCTCAAGGAAATTTTTAAAAAGTGAATTAGTAAAATTATCTTTTTATTTATGATTTTTTAATATTTGTATAAAAAAAAGCTATCAACTAATATAGAACGAAAGAAGTAATATTAATAAAAAATTTATGATCGAAAACACATTTAAGCTATCCAATTTTTGTGACATTCGTATCGTAACTGTGTAAAAAATTCGTGGAGTATCCTATTTTGGTCCTTCAAATTACCTAATATCCCTTACATATATTTCTTTTACACAAGGCATTTCTAATATGTGTGTAAGTGTATTAGTTATATATCTGAGCATAAATAAATACGTGGAAAAAAAATTAAAGAGTGTAAATGAGATTGGCAGATTTATCTTTATTTTGATAAATAAATGATTGATGTTTGTTTTTTTTATGATATATGAAATTTATATTTTAAATTTGAGCTTATTAAAGTAGATTTGGGCATTCAAAGTTGAAAAAAAAAAATTATTATTTTGTTGGCAAAAAATTTCAAGTGCACACACCTAACATTTTAGTTAATTTTAACATATGTTTCATTTATATAGACATATATGAAAAAAGTTAGTGTGTTAACTGTGTTTCTTAGATTCTTTATAATATTTGTTCTTCAGAATATATGAAACTTGTGTTTCAAACTTGAGTTTATTTGAAGTAAAATAGTGTGTTGAATTGTTGAAATTCAAAGAACAAGTTATAATTTTTTAACAAAACAAATTCAAACAATATTTGAGATTTAAGATAACTTTTACATGATTTCAAATGTGAATTAGTAAGCTAGTTTAGGAGATTAAGATGTCCAGTACTGGTCTACTGGAGTACAGTGTACTAAAGTGAAGCAAAATGAAGTGGTACTTCAGAAATTCATCATTTTCTTCACTAATTCTTGGCCATACAATTGCCTCAGCACAACATGATCAACAGCCCTCATGTAATCCTTCCATGACACGTGGAATCCAATGAGTGGCGGGATATCCTTCTTTCCTTCCACCTCCCCCCACCCCTTCGCCACAAAGCTTCATAGCACACCAGCCAAAGTGCACTTATTGATGATGAAATATGCCAAAATCCAAAAGCTTCTAATAGAAAAAAAAAAATCAAAATTAGCTAGTACTGTACTACAATTTCCTCAGATCAATTCCCTTTAAGACCCCATAGAAATTTCAGTGTAAATTGTGATAAAGAAATATAGTATGGAGGCAATTAATGCAGTAAGATTGACACCTCTCTCTGTTCTTTCTGATAGGAGAAATGAGGCCAAGAAAATCCCATCACACCCTATTTCTTTCCCATTCAAGAATCTTTGTTCAGTTGAGAATTTATCAAGAAATGTTCAAGGGGGTTTAGTACTTGTATCATCAGTTCTAAATACAGGCTTAGCTAAAGCATTAACATATGAGGAGACACTTGAGCAATCTGCAACAAGCCCAGGTGCTGAGTTTGATGCAACTGCAGTTGTGGAAACTGTGACCACTTTTGCATCAGAGAATCCTATAATTATAGCTGGTGGATTTGCTGCTTTGGCTTTGCCAATTGTTCTGTTTCAGGTTCTTGGAAAGCCACCTAAGTCATGGGGTGTTGAGTCTGCTAAGACAGCTTATGCAAAATTGGCAGATGATGCAGGTGCACAGTTGCTTGATATAAGAGCACCTGCAGAATTGAGGGAAGTGGGGAGTCCTGATATTAGGGGTTTGAAGAAGAAACCAGTTACTGTTGTTTATAAGAGTGAAGATAAGACTGGTTTCTTAAAAAAGCTGTCTTTGAAGTTCAAGGAGCCTGAGAATACTACATTGTTCATTCTAGACAAGTAAGATTTGAAAAGAATTGCTTAATTGTCTTTTAATCTGCTAATATTTAGTCATTATATGTTGTTTATTGTGTTTCGATTATCACATTATTTTGTTGTTGCTATTGTTCCTTTCTTGTAGGCTCTACAATGCTTTCTTTATTAGTTGCTATGATTGCTTCACTGTTTTCTTCTTCTTTTACTTGGATTTGTTCAACTTGAGCCGAGGGTCTTTCCGAAACAGCCTCTCTATCCTCACGAGGTAGTGGTAGATCTGCGTAATCTGTACCCTCCCAAGACCCCCACTTGTGGGATTCCACGGGGTATGCTGTTGTTGTTGTAATCTGATAATAAGTAGGTACTTCGCTTATCTTGTTGAAATCCCTGTGAAACCTTAGCAGCAAGATGTAACTCAAAGTTAGTAGTAATTCAGTGAGGACTGCTTGTGTTTAACATGTTTTAACATAATTAGTGAGCTCACCATCTTATGCGGCGACCAATTAGTCAGTCATATGCTTCAATGTGTATATCTTGAACTTTCGGCTATCTACTTGGATCTTGGGGTTTGGTTTAGCTCTATTCATCTTTAGTCTATTAGGTGTTGCATCAAGGTTTAGAGGAACAAATCAAAGATTAGTAGGCAAATTGAAAGTTTCTATTGATGTGGTTGTCATACATGCAACTTCCTTAATAAATTTATGATATTGACTTCTTGTATTAGCCAGCTATCTAACAAATTGAATCTGATCCTGTTTCTTTATGAATTGTAATGAAGCCAGATTTGATGGAAACTCTGAACTGGTTGCGGAGTTAGTCACAGAAAATGGATTTAAAGCTGCTTATGCAATCAAAGATGGTGCTGAAGGACCCCGGGGATGGCTGGTTAGATTCACAAATCTAGTTGTACTAGCTTTTATTTAAAAACAAGTTGGTGGTTATGAAGCTTAACGAATTCCACTTTCTGCAGAACAGCAGCCTTCCTTGGATTCTTCCTAAGAAAACATTGGGTCTTGATCTGAGCAATCTGTCTGATGCTCTTGATGGTGTTCTTGGGGTATGTTTCACTTTCCAAACCATGCTACTAATTAGCATATCTGACAATCCTATCTGAGTTCAATAATGTCATCGGCATTCGTCTTTCTCAAACTCCAAACAAGTAATTTGCTAGCAATGAGAGTATGCAATGGTATTAGTATAACTTGAATTCAGATCTTAACATGACAATATTATGGCATACCCAATATTTTCTTGTTATGTTTTGTTATGAATGCCCATGTAAATTTGAAAAATGCTTGGAATTCTTGCAGAAAAATCTATATTGCAGCTCTTCTGCATTCCACTCCACATTTCTCAAACAAAATGCCTAATGAAGCCCATCCAAATCAATGTTTTCCTCCTTGATGAACTTCATGCATTCAACTATTCTTTGTCCCTAACTTACTTTGTGGTTTCAGACCTGAAATTAATTGTCAACAAAGATGCACTCTCGCAAACTAGTCAACTTTGCACAAATTATCAAATTCATGAGGCAATATGGTGAACTAGTAGTCTAGAATTACTTGATCATACTCTTCACTTGACTTCTTAATTTTTTTAATATACAGGAAGGTTCTGATGCTGTTACTGTAGGCTTAGGTGTTGCAGCAGCTGCTGGTCTTGGGATTTTAGCCTTCTCAGAGGTCAGCTCTAAGTTCTTTGTCCCTCGTTCGTATGATGAGCTCAATTTAGTAAACATCTTATGGTCGGGTCTTCTTTCAGGTAGAAATAATTCTCCAACTGTTGGGTTCAGCTGCACTTGTCCAACTGGTTAGCAAGAAACTCCTGTTTGCAGAGGTTTGTCCGTGATATTTGCAGTGAATACTTCTCTTGCAACTAGTGTAGCCTTGAAAAGAAATGCCCATATTGCATCTGAAAAGTGCTTTATGATAATCATTTTATGCTCAAGGGATGACTTGTACTTATGCCTAGAAATTAAAATGAAGAATAACTCGTCAAAGAGAGATCGACTTTTGATTTGTATATTTTAGTTATAGAACTGTTTTATGCCCTCAAAGCAGGCAATTATTAATTTACTTGTTGCTAACAGGATACAGTTTCCTCCGTTATCAAGAGTTAGATAATTGACACTCCTAGATAATATTTTCTATGCATTGAACTAACTGTTTCGTGCATAAAATCATTTCAGTTCATAATGGTTTAGGATTATACTTGGGTTGAAGTAGCAAAGGGATTTGAAAGTTCTCCATTGCTGGTCAAATGAGTGACTTTATCGATCAACTCTTCCTAGTCTTACTTAAATTAGATAATGATCATGGGGATCAAAGTTTTTAGATGTGAGAGGTCCTTTAATATTACCATATTTTCCCTTTTCAGGACAGAAAGAAAACTCTGCAACAAGTTGATGAGTTCCTCTCCACTAAGGTTGCTCCAAAGGAACTGGTAGATGAGATTAAGGTAATCTCCATACGTACAGAACTTTGCAAGATTATCGTTTCCCATTCCAGAGAAGAAAATGTTTGCTTTAAACGATGTTTTCATAATTGGTTCCTTGCTTATTGAAAATTCAGCAAATAGGGAAGGCTCTTCTTCCAGACTCGGTGAGTAGCAATGCTCTACCTGCACCTGTAGAGGCAAGCCCTGCTGCAGCCACCAGCACTGTTGAGGAAACTGAATCAGTTGCTAAGGAGGATATTGCACCGCCTAAAGTAGAAGCAACTTCCCCGCCTACTCCAGAAGTCAATGCAGTCCCTAACGCTGAAGTCAAAACTGATGCACTACCTGAAAGTTCAAGGCCACTCTCGCCTTATCCTAATGTAAGTTTCCGTTTTTATGTTCAACTGCTCTTTTCATCATTTTGTTCTAACTAACTCTTTTTATGATTGCCACACGCGATATCTTCCAGTCATAGTGGCTAGCTAGCTAGCACACCCTTTCTCATCAATGAACTGAAGATGGTCCTCTTTCGAATTTTGAGATTGATAATTTCTAAATTATATGCTATATATACTTAATGGTCATTGTTCTGCTTAGTTTCACATCTTTTGCTTTGAATGTGTTATATGCATGCAGTATCCTGATCTCAAGCCTCCAACATCGCCGATGCCTTCACAACCATAGAACTGGACATGCAGGCTGCCATATAGTCTAGTTAACAACAAGCATAGCTAGCTATAGCCTAGTTTGGAATGGAAGCTCCTACTCTGTGAAATTTTGAATATTACATAACATTCATTTGAAGAAAATTTCTCTAGTGCCAGTAGAGATCATAGTTCTCAACACTTTAATATGTCTTGTATTCCATCTTTGTAGAATATTATTGGATATCATGTAGATACAAAGCTTTATCAGTTGTTTACAAATAAAATTACATTTTAGGCAGCATACTGAACAAGGATATCAAACTTGAATATCATTAACCAGAATAGCTTATTCATAAGACTATACTTGGATATTTCTTCTAGGTTGGAAGGGATTATTTCTCAATATTTGAGTCTAAGGGGTATCTACTGCAAATCATCAAGGCATGTCCAAGTTACCGTTGAACTCTACTCCTCCCTTTCCTATAGTTTTACTTGTAACTTTTCGCCTATCAAGAGTAATTTTTTGTCTTTTTATTTGAAAAATATTTAATACAGGCATGAATTATGAGGAAGTTCTGAGATTATAATTTATGTTTCAAAAATCCCAGTCTTAAGAAATAGCTAGGAGAGACTTTTTTTAATAAGTGTTAAGTTTTAAAATTTTTGTATTTACAGAAACCCCTACCTCGCCCCTCCACAACCAACACAAAATCTCATATTTTCAAGTACTCCTTCATTTTTAACCAGAAATCTGGGTTCAAGTCTCTCTGGGTAGGAAATCGTTTTTGTTAGAAAGCACTTTATTCTCAATAAGGGATTTCAGATACGGATTTGGATTTAGTCAGGATCTAATATAAGTAATGAACACCAGGGTGAAAACTAAAAAAAATATTGATCCAAATGACTAGAGGCTGGGTCTCCAATTTTGGGTCGCATCAAAACCTTTTCAAGGATCCAATCACAAATTAAATCCACCAAAAATTCAAGACACAAAGTCAATGATATTTCTTTTAAAATTTTATTCGGATAAAATAAATTTAGAAGCTTGATTCGATAAGTATAAAGTGGAGTATTTCTTTTAAAATAATTAAAAGGTAATATAGTCTAGAAATACCCTACAATTAAATAAAGAATGGAAAAAAAATAAACAAAGTGTCAAAGTATGTAAATAAATAAGGGCAAATTACAGAAATCACATACTTTTAAGGTAAAATTACAATATATCCCTTAAAAGTTTATAATTACAGAATTCCCTCAAACTGATACAATAATATAAGCGCTGATACATTAGTCTGATGCGCAAGATACATTAATCGTTAAGTAAGATACATTACATTTTATACATGATACATTAATCTGATGCGCGAGATACATTAATCTGATGCGTGAGATACACTAATCTGATGCGCGAAAATGAGGGATTTTGGAGATTTGTAAAACTTATAGGGGATAAGTAAACTAAAATGTGAGATTTCTATAATTTTTCCAATAAATAATCAGATGTAAAACTTCTATCTAAATTTGTTTAATGGGAAAACAACCTAAAATCCCTTAAATTTATAGAATAATATCTCTCACAAAAATAGAGCATTTCAATTCAAAATGAAACCCTTAAATATTTAATTTTGTAAACTAATATGACCAAATTAACACAAAATTAAAAATGTTTACACTCTGGTAATCTGAGTAGTAATTCTAGCTTGAGATAATAAATGGACTAATTAACTGAAAACAAAAGCAAAACTATTTTACTCCAACCGTAGGTTGTAAATTTCAAATAATTGAAAAAAGTAGTAATTCTAACTGAGATAATAAATGTACTAAACTGAAAACAAAAGCAAAACTATTTTACTCCAGGTTTTAACTTTCAAATAATTGGAATCTTTACACGACTAGTCAAAATAATTCTCCATGTAGTGAAAAGGGTGCGATTGAAAATTTTCATGACAGTGAGAAGAGGTAAGATATTAGTAATGCCTCAAGAGACCTATTATGTTCAAATAGCTTTGATGTTTTATCGAAGACTACTGGAAAGCAAGTAAAGTTAACAGAGAAGGACAACGATTTGATCCAAGAAAAACAGGTCTCACCACCTACTTTGAATAGCAAATTAAGTCCAGAAGCTTCCGTATTTGTGCCTAAATGTGTGATTGCAAAGAAGAATGAGTCAAGGGCCTTAGTGTCAAATACAATTGATTTGGGCGAGGATTCTCTTGATGAAGATGAGGAAGATATGTTGGATATGCTTTGATAGAGTGGCTAGGGAAGGAGATATATCACCTAGGCAACAAAGAAGTGGAAGCAACAAAAGCAAAAAGAAAGACACATGGAAGGCAACATAGTTGGGACGGTAAAATGACTGAAGAGTTTGTTCCAAGGCACCTACCGATGCGACATGCAAAGCAGAACCATTTGACAGTATCAATAGGTTCAACAAGATCCAATAAATCCATAAAGAAAGTATGAATTATCAAGTGTTGTTGGATAGGTTTGAAGAAGAACACAAGAGAAAAACACTTCAAGTCACTTTGGATGGGCTATCAATCTTTTTTAATTCATGTGTTTGTAATAAAAAGTTTGAGGCTGATAACTCAACTTTCTTCTTGATTGGCATATTTTTACATTATTTAAGCATCCTCATTTGTAATATCATCATGGATGTATTACAAACTCTGTGATGATCAGAAAATACTTAGTTCTCTCCAGCTCTTATTTTTTTCATGCTTGTTAAGTAGTAGACGTTAGGTACTTCATTAGGATTAGTAAGGTAAGGTCTAGCCTCCCTTGCTTGCACTTATCCCTATTGATATTTTTTAGGGAAAAATGACAAATATATCCTCAAACTATTGTAAATGGTATGCAGATACCCTCCGTCATATTTTTGGGACATTGGTGCCCCTGTCGTTCAAAAAGTAGAGCATACCCTTTACACTAACGGACATACACGTGTCATAATCTAATCCACCAACCCGACATTTATTAAATATCGGATAGACGGCTAAGATTGTGTCACGTGTTCTTATTTAGTCTTCCGTTAGAGTGAAGGGCATATATGCTCTAATTTTTGGACGGCAGGGGCACTAATGTCCCAAAAATATGACGGAGGGTATCTGCATACCATTTACGATAGTTTGAGGGTATATTTTGTCTTTTTTCCCTATTTTTTATGTTTAATAAAAGGCCACTAGACACTATCTAGTGATAAATTTGCGGAAAAAAAAAACTTTCAAATAATCGAAAAAAATAGTAATTCTAGCCTGAGTTAATAAATGGACTATACTGAAGCAAAATTATTTTACTGCCACAGTAAGATTTAAATTTCAAATTATCGAAAAAAGTACTCACAAAAAAGCAAAGGTATATAGGAGCAAATAATGTCAGTGGCAGTGACAGGGGTCGAGTGCAGTTACCTCTTCATTCTTCTTCAAAAATCCAAAAAATGAAATAAAGCGGGAACTGAATTTCTCTCTCGAACTATTGAAATCCTCCATTAACAAGTTACTCAAATCTGCTTTTGGTTCTTCTTCTCTGCAACAGCAGCAGCAGCCATGGCGAGAACCAAACACCTCGCAAAACGAAGTCGCACCAAACCTTCTGGTTACTTCTCTATCTCTCCTTTTTATAATTTAACCTAACTGCACACATATCGTAATTTTAGAGTTTTGAAAAGTTAGCGAATTCGCAAATATAGGCAATAAGATCTGACTTAGTTTTAAATACATAGTTGTAAAGAAAAAAAAATCAACTGTATATGGCTCAAGTTGAAGATAAGAAGCGGTGATTAATGCCTTTTATGTACATTCAGCGATGGTTTCTGTGTGTGTGAATGTTTACACTAGCGTATACACTTCATTTTAGTGTTTTGGATTTGATTTGATTTTTGTTGAGTTTGTTTTTGAACCCTAATTTGGTGATGTTGTACCTGGACTTGCAGTTGCAGCTGGACCTTCAGCGACTCCATCGGTATGATAATAACTGTGATTTTTGTGTTCTCGTGCTAATTCAAAGTTCGTGAGGTTAATTTTTTGCTTGTTGTTTGGGATAAATCAGACGCCTACAAGAAAAAGTCCACGGTCTGCGCCGGCAAGTAAGTGTATATAGAAGTAAATTAATGTGCATTTCTGAACATTCATGCTTTCGACATGTAGTTATGTTGCTGTACTTTTGTTTTAGTCAATTTTTTGGTGTCAATTTGAAGCTAGTTGGGTTAACTATATGAATCCTTCTAAATACATTCGTTTTGTTCAAGCCCAATCCTATATTTCTAAATGATGGGAGAATATTTGTGTTTCAGCTTCAGTGCAGAAGCCAAAGCAGAAGAAGCGTTACAGGCCAGGGACAGTGGCACTTCGAGAAATCAGACACTTCCAGAAGACGTGGAATCTTGTTATTCCAGCTGCTCCTTTCATCAGACTTGTAATTTTCATCATATGGACTTATAGCATATCAAAGTCGTTTTTCTAATGCATTTTTTTTTTTGGTTACATTCATCATGGTTCTGTTGATGTTGTGCTTACTTACAGGGATAAAGTTAGACTGCTAGATATAATTTGAGCTTAGCAGCCATATGGTTAGATGAAATAGGAGAAACTCTAAACCAATTATAGCTTGATTGAGTGCTTCATTACCATGTAATCTGGCTGAAATGGAAGAATGAACTTGAAGTCGAATCTGAATAGTTGCAAGTGTCTAATTTAATGTAGATTACCGAAAAAAGCGAGAGGGCTATCAGTGTTATGCCTTAGTTGAGTGGAGAATACGTGAATCACTGTGCACTAGTGGGTAAAGCTAATGTTAGGGCTTTCCACTAGTTGATGAGTATTAGTGAGACTAAATTGAAAAGAAAAAAATAGATGCTGAAAGGATAGTAAAAAATAAAAATACTATGGAATGGAGAGAATAACCCCCTTTTCTTGAATAAAAACCCTTTAAAAGAGGCATCTTTGGCAAGCTTCAATTGATGTATTACTCCATAACTCAGTTTCTCATTTTCCTTTAGACTACGTCAAGATGAACATTCACCTATTTTCTAACTGATTTAGTTTCTCAATGGAGAGCACACTGATGTTAACAAATAGAAGAAAGAAAAATTCATTCTCTTTCTTGAGTTTATTTTTATACTATAGTATTTTATTTGTTTGGGCTTGGCTGAGTTCAATTTGCAGGTTAGTTTGATCAGTTTTTGCGATTATGCACTATTGTTCAAAGAAAGGTTTCCGTTTCGTATTGATTTCAATATGGGATTGGAGTGGGAAGACCATTTATGATCTGCCGGACTTACAAAAGTGGAAACTAGTTAACTCTTGTCAATTAGTGAGGATCTTCTTCTGTAGGAGGTTTGGTAATTTCAGATTTTAAGAAGGTGTACTACGCAGATTTGCTAGTCAAAAAAAGTTTCTATCCTCCTGCTCTATATTTCAGGAAGTCCCTGGGACTCAGTTTGTGGTTCTGGCAGAAAGTGTGGATTGAGAGTGTATACCAAAATATTCATTCTGACTATTCTTTTAAATGTAAATGTGTTGTAGAACTGCTATATTTATACCCTTGATGATAATATGGTTTAGTTTAGACCAAATAGATTATGGATTTATCCTTGCCTTTATTAAGTTTTCACCAAACCTAATTGTTTATCCCTCTTTTCTGACTGGGGCAGGTTAGAGAAATTAGTCACTTTTTTGCACCTGGGGTAACTCGTTGGCAAGCTGAGGCGTTAATAGCTATTCAAGAGGTACGCCAATTTCTCACCATAAAAAGTGGATCTGTTAGCTGCTATTTGGATCATGTGCATTAATTTAAGTTATTTATAGGAATCATGTGTTCCTAGAGAGGAGAGGGAAATCGATTCATATGAATATATTTGCTCTCATATATCATCTAGTAGTTTTATATGTCAATAACATATCTAGCTTGAAATAATCTCTGCTCCATGGACATATTAAAATCATTTTAATGTATCTTAGAGTAATTCTACTATCAATTTCAAAATGTGCTTAATAATCTCCTATAAAAGGTTTCTCCAAGTAATAGAAAATTACAGCATGAACTCTATAATAATTTAAAGCATGTTCCAATTGTGTGGTCAGGGTAGTAAATGTGTATGAAAAGATCCAACATATTATTAAAGTGATATTCCTCTTTTCAGTACCTAGCATACATTAGGCAAGAAAGGATATGTTGCTCGGACTCTTCAAAAATGATCCCACACCCGTGTCAAATTCTTCAAAAATGCACTAGTTTTGGAGAATCCAACATGCACCCGTCGACATTTTTGAAGAGTCCGACCAACATAGAAGAAAGACAATTGATATCATCTCCTAACAGGCAATCCAAGATGGGCAAGGCAATTAGTTAGCTAAGGGAGTTTGAGTTTCTGGAAGATTTATCATATTTAGAGATGTCTATCACAAACTCTTGCTCCATGAAGGTTTTTCTATTTTGATTATGGTTGTGCATTTTCCTTATCTGAGTCCTGCTCAACTGAATCGCTTTTATATCTTCAAATTGCAAAAAATACTATTTAGGTGTATTAATCAGGCAAGTTCAAAGTAAAAACTACTTTTCTTTGATTTTTGCTTAGATAAGCTTATCTCCTGAATGGTACAGTCCAGTGTCCACAAATAAAGTTGCTACTCGGCTTACCCCTAAATCAGGGTGTCCACTCCTTTTGGATATTGTTCCAATCGAGAGGACATATATTATTACTAAGTACCACTAATTCCTATTGGTTTTTGTTTTGTTGTCATAAATACGATACGTATACTTGCATCAACATATGACTGATCCTGCAGCAACAAGTTATTCACCTTTTCCTCTGAAGCTAAGCCAATTCTGATACATAGTCTCTAGCATGGAATACCTTATTTTTTTAAGTTCCCCAGCAAAGAATAAGGCATTGAAAAGAAAAGGGATTTCTTAGTGGGTATACCCTATGGCCTCCTCTAATATGCCCATTATTTCTTTGTGCTATAAACCAAAAACCCTTTGTGTTCTAAACCTTTTTGACTGCATGTATATATAAGTGTATTTGCTATGTACATGAAAAGATGTGTAGTTTTTTCTATTTTGTCAGTGACAAGTTGATGTCCAGTAAACATGTGGAATAAAAGGAATTGGCTTGTTGTGATCATTGATCAGAAACAGATAGAATCCCGTTAAGCTGGCAGGGCGCTGTGGATAACTAGTGAAAAAAAAGGACAGAGCTAAGCATTAGCTTTAGCATGTCTCTCTGCAAGCATGCATTTCTGCTTCCCTATGAAATTTTGTTTGTATCTGGAAGAGCATCAATGATCTTGTAAAATAATGTACATAGTGTCTTCTCAGGAACCTAGGAAATGTTTCTGAAATCCTTTGTTCTGTCTGTAGCTGTGCTCAAATAACAGACAGATAGTCATAGGGGAACAGTCAGCAGCTTGAAATGTCTATTTAGTGTCAAAAAAATTATATTTAGTGTTGATACATGAACTATTATTCATCTTCATTCTGTGCCATCTGGCGCATAGTTTGGAGTGAAAGAACTTTATTCCATTCTTCGTACAGATTCCTCAAGAGTCGAGACAGAGTTGCAATCATGTCAAACTCTGCTTATTTTCTGTCAGGCAATTTGTCCTATGATCCTTGCACATCATGCTTTTCTTAGGATGTTTTCATCATTAGTATCATTAAAATAGCAAAATGTAGATGTATGCATAAAGTAAGAAAGTTTGTGTGCATAGTCTATTCAGTCAACATTATTATTTTCAGCCTATTTTTGTAGAAATGCCTTGTTCTCTAAAACATTTATGTCATATTGAACTCTATTCTTAATCAATATCAGCAAGAGTGATATAGGTATTTTGCAGGCTGCTGAAGATTTTTTAGTTCATTTGTTTGAAGATGCAATGTTATGTGCTATTCATGCGAAGCGTGTTACACTTAGTAAGTTTCCTCTTCAATTCTTCCTTTTTTTGGTTTTCTTATATGATATTGTTCCTTCTCCACAGTTGACCTTTCTCGACATCCCTCTACTCATTTCCTTGTTGCTTCGGGGAATGGGCTGGCAGCCTGGTCCATCAAATTATTTGTCTTTCACAAATTATGTTATTCTGTTGTAGATTTCATATACCTATTAGCTTTCTCAATTGTGTTATGCTCGTCCTCCCTCAGGGAATTGGAGGAAAATGCTCTACAAATGCTTTTAGTCGCAAAGTTACGGCATACAAATGATGCCATAGATGCACATATTTTTGGGGTCCTAAATCAAATTACTTGTCTTTCACAAATTATGTTATTCTGTTGTAGATTTCATATACCTATTAGCTTTCTCAATTGTGTTATGCTCGTCCTCCCTCAGGGAAGAGGAGGAAAATGCTCTACAAATGCTTTTAGTCGCAAAGTTACGGCATACAAATTATGCCATAGATGCACATATATTCGGGGTCCTAATTTTATTTACTCCATATGTACATTTGCTAAAGATGCAAAAGTGAAATGAGGCAATCTTTTCTATTGCCTCTTCCAAGTTAACCTCTTTCATATGAATTCTTCAATCACATCTAGGAGGAGTACCTAGGGGCCAGGTACAGCCTGTTTCAATATGGGAGGTTTTAGGTGTTTAGTGCAGTGAAAAGTTAGCCCAATGATCTTTTAAGATAATACTGTGAATCAGAGGAGAGCAGTTGCCTTATGGTCTCAACTACTTATATGGATAATGAGCACCTGCTGTTCTGAACAATACTTATATTATTAGTGGGCTGGAATATCTTGGGCATCTCTAGGTCTTTTAGTACTGCCTACTTGTTTGCTTGGCATGCTTTGTTATATGATGCGTAATTTATATTGTTTCATTATTCTTGATGCACAGTGAAAAAAGATTTTGAGCTGGCTCGACGACTTGGAGGAAAAGGACAACCTTGGTGAAGCATTACCATCTTACCCAAGTAGATAATGGTACAGCTTCAGTTGAAAGAATCAGCCTCTGATGGAGTTTATTAAGTTCGATTATCAGTACTTGTAGATTGTTCTTATCTGACCATTACCTCTTGTTGTAATTGAATGGGCTAATTATGGTACAGTATCTTCAAAAAGTTCCCAATACTGTAGTAGCAATTCTTACAGCCATAGTTTGATTTAATTGGTCGATGCTATTTCCATGTGATTATAGTGGACGAGCTCCATAGATGTCATGCAGATAGTAGTCTGTATTTTATGATTTAGGCTGCAGATACACATATCCATTAGTAGGTTTCTGGTGTTGAAGGAGTGACGAGATCAGTTCTGGTCTTGAATTTCTTATTCTTGAAAAGTGGTTGGGTGATTTAACAAATATTTTGTACCTGCAAGTTTACACCCATCATGAGTCGTTCAGGACTATCATATGGGAATTGTAACTAATTTGACTAGCTGGGGTTACTTTCTGGCATATGTTCTTTTTGTAGCTACCTGAATTGGACCTACCAATCAAATTCATAAGACAAATAATGATCAATGAAGATCCCCTTCTTTTTTTTTATTGGAGGGCTCGGGTTAATCAGTCTACTAAGATTTGCTTTTCTTGTAGTTGATCCCGAATGTTCTTTGCTCCTTTCAGCTCAAAATGCCTAATGTGGAGAAAATGACACAAGAGCTTATATTATTGGGAGAAACTAAGATTTGAACTTAATTATCCATTGAGTATGCATGACCATATAAATGAAAACAAATGAAAGAAGCGTATCTAAAAATGTATGTAAATAATGGGAAGGAATGACAACTGCAAGTCAAAGGGAAAGAGTAGTTTGTTTGGTTAGGACCAGCCGTTGTTTGATGATAACAACAAATGCAGACAAATCTGTCGAACCATTGAGGACAAGTATAAAAAAACAGAATCTGTCCCTCCTACTCAACAGCAACTCTCTGCTATTCCTCTTTTCTTGATCCTCATTATTCTTATCTTTCTATCACTCTACTTTTTTTGTACCTAAAAATGGATCAAAATCTCCATCATCAACACAAACTCATGCACCAATGTTGCAGCCATGAAGAAGGTACATCCCTAATATATACCCCTTTGTTTTTTTCTTTCGTTTTTCGTTTTTTAACATCTTTTTTTTTGCTTGGAAAACAGAGGTTAATAGTATGGAGTGGGAATTCATTAGAATGAGCAAGCAAGAAGAAGATCTTATTTACAGGATGCACAAACTTGTTGGAGACAGGTAAAAGTTGAATAATTACCAGTATCTTCATGTCTCATTATTAAGACTAGGAAAACATTGTCATAAACATGCACAGATGTAGTATTGTCATTAACTTTAATTTGATTAAACTAGCTCAAAGACATACTTTGACATGGTGTGATATTATCTGCGTTGAGTCAAGTTGACGCAATTTTTCCCAAAAATGTTCCACATCATTAAGACTATTCACACCTTATAAACAATGATGGAGTTAGAATTTTTACTAAGGAATTAAAAAGTAAACACATGAAGAAGTCAAAGTAAATATAAACAATATAAAGTTTTCACCGAATGAACCCCTTGAATCGCTAGAAACATGTGAAGTGTATGGCTAACCCAATAACGAAAGTTTCGTAAGGGGACTGGAGCAGGCTACCATGAGACAAAAGACCCTACCTAACTTCACTTCTTTGTTGTTTCTACTTTTCATATTAAACTTTATTTACATACACCCATCTAATATGATACTATCAGGTCATTTATTTGATATTCATATTTATCTATTATAGTAGGTAACCTTTATTAATGTTGTTTTGAATGATGAAACTAAGTTTATGGTTTTTTTAATATAAGGTGGGGGCTTATAGCAGGTAGAATACCAGGAAGAACAGCAGAAGAAATAGAAAGGTTTTGGATAATGAGACACAGTGATGGGTTTGCACACAAGAGAAGACAAACAATTAAGAAAAGTCTACCACCTACATAATTATTATCCTTCTTTTTCTCCAAAAAAAAAAAACTTTTTGAGGAAAGCAGATTATCTTTTTCCTCCTCATCCTTTCTTTTCCATTTTGTTTGGGGGACCAAGCTACTGATCATTTTATCATTTTCTTGTCTATGTACTTCTACTTTTAGATTTGAGATTATATCTTATGCCTTTTTGGTTTACTTGTTATGTTTATGTGTGCAATATATATGTAATCATATTATCTTAGCTTTAGGTGACAATATTATTAGTCCAATATGTATCCAGAATATTAGTTAATCGTGCAAAAATATCAATTGTATCCAACTATGCATTACAATATATTGCGACCATCATTAAGTGTAAAATTAGATTTTTTTTGGTACATATACTTCCTCCAATCTATTTTATTTATAGGTTGATTTTTTTTCACGTTCTTTAAGAAAATATAATTAAAAGAGTAATTTAACTATATTATTCATTTTTACTCTTTGATCTTAATTTTGTACTACCATATCTCTTCACATTATTGAGTAAAAATAAATAATTAATTATATCTTAATTTTCTAAAATGACAACTATCATTCACCAATTATTTTTAATAAATACAGTAATTAAAATGAAGCGGAGAGAGTAATAACTAAAAAGGGGTTTTGATAAACAAAGAAAATTGAGTGATTGTTTAGTGATAAAATTACTATCTAAGACCTTTCCTTAAGTATCCTAATGATCTAAAATTGCTTTCCTCTATGGGCTCTTTTTTGTAGAAAGGAAACTATTTCCTCATTTTTACCAAAATAAGTGTTGTTATTAATTTTTGCATATTTTTTGAAAAAATTATTTATTCCTAGGAAATAAGAAGGGCAATTTTTTTAAAAAAATCAATTCTTTTTTTGAAACACTAAAATAAGTCTGATTTGAAAATAAAAAAGAACAACTTGTTTTAGAACAAAAGGAGTACATTCCAGAAGAAAAATCCTGCACCAAACTTATTGGAAACGATTATTAAAAAATTGAAAATTTCAAAAGAAGCACCAACATTGGGTGGTTAGTTGTTTATCTTTTCATCAACTTCAAGAAAATGTTAAAAGCAACAATTTTGTCAATTATCTTATTGTTGTAAGTGAAGGAAAATAAGATTTTGTTTACTTAAAAGTTTTTTTTTTTTTTTTAAGTGTGTTAAACTGTGAACGGTCAATAAGAGAAATTAAAGAATAGATTAAATTTTGGACTAATTTTACTATCAAAATTTATATTTGTTAGCTCACGAATCATTCTGCGAGACGTCTAATAGTCTCTAACTTGATCGTTGAATTCTTAGTCTAGGAATATATAGATTAAGATTATCCATCATTCCTTTTATTAAAGAAAAATAGTTTCAATCAGAGAGTAAACAAATGGGTTAACGGGTCGAAGGAGTGGAAACATATTTTGGGCCGGAAAGAACCCATTATATTGAGATTCGGCTTAGAATTAGTGGCCCATAATTCTTCAATTAACCCAACTACTATTATTTAGTCCATTTCATGTGTAAAATCTTAAATCAAACAAATATCACGAAAATTACTTGTTACATGAAATTGCAAACATAACTTCTAAAACATTTTTTTTTTACAATATACAATAGGTTAACTCATTGCTCTTTTACATCTCATCAATGAAAGTTCAATAGATTAAGAGATCATAATTCTTTTTTTATATTCTTTTATCAAACAGATATTATTTTTTCACTTTTCTATTTCTTATTTCTTGATTGATCTGTGTGTTGTGAAGAAATTAAAGTATTTACCTCAATTACACTCTATACTAATGCTAAAAAAATTCATATCACATGTAAAATAAATAGTGAAAATCATAATAAACTCAGTTAATTAACTATCATTGATGCGAGCCTCTGTCACAAGAGGCAATTTATGTGGTACACAGTGTAAAGCTGCCATTTTATTTTATTTTAATAATAATCTTTCTTTCTGGATCTGTTAAGTATGAACTCAACAATAATATATTGCCAACTTTTTATCCTTGCTGCTCAACGTGTTCCCTTATGGTTTCAAACAAATAGTAGGGACCATCGTTATATTATTGATGATTATGATTCAATATTAAATATACTTCCATTCACTTTACTGGTTCACTTTGAATATCCCATGCTTCTTAAGAAAAATAATAATCAAAATGATTATTTTATTATAAAACACATATTGATTAATGTTTCATATTAAACTTGAAAAATAATTTTGGAATAAATAATTAATGCACATGGGAATAAAATAATTATCTTTTGTTGATATGTTAAAAGTAAAAAAAATATTTTTGAAATAGTAAACAAATAAAAATAAAGGAAGTGAGTATTATATTTCTTTCCTTGTACACAAAATTTACGCTTATTTTCTTTAAATTTAACTAACTTGTAGAATATAAATATTTTGGCCCTTTAAGCTAGCTAGTCTACAACAATTAGCAGGGCCAATATAATTAATTACTACTGTGGAGTAATGATGTATTGTGGTTGACATTAAGAAAACGTTGAGAAAAAATGCGAGCATAAGTTTTATTAATGTGATAATACTGACCAATGATACCCATTTTAATGTTCGTACGATATCCCCCTTCTTCTTTTCGTTTTTTCAAATAATCGTGAGGTCCAGTTAATTTTTGCGTATACATATTTCAATTATTGCTTCTTTTTTTCCTACCTAAATTTGTTACTACTTTTTCTCTCTCACAATGATAATGTTTACTAAACTTGTGGGTAGAGAAAGTATATAATGAAGAACTTTAAGGATTCCAGTACTTTTCCAATAAAATTTGAGAAAATATCGTACCATTTAGCAAAATACAATGATTATAATTCAAAGGAGATAAATTACTTAATTAATTTATCATTTGCTTTTATAAATGCTCTTTTTATTGTGGCTCTACTTATTTCCTTGACCTGGTAAAACAATTAAAACAAAACATTTATCCACAGTAAAGTAGTGCAAACGCGTTTATACGGGAAAATCCCAATATATATAATCTTATTTGAAAATTAAAGTAAAGTGTGACCCAAAACAACGTATTAAAATATTGTTGGAAGGTTCTTAAGATCTTGGTTTTATTATTATAGCATGTAGCAAAATCCAACCACACAACTTCAATAACTCTTTTTATATCATTTTTAATATTAATCTCTTTTTTGTTTTTTCTTCATAATAGGGACTAAACATCGAAAAAGTAGTCCCACACAATAAGTAGACAAGTCAGTAGTACTTGGATGTAAATCATTTATGTAACAAAAATATGGATCGTGTGTAGTGATGGACTATTGGGATTGCTTCGGTCTTAATCAAAGATTTCGGATTAGAGTTCTGGGTATGAAAGAAAATCATGTTGGGAGCGTCACCCTCAAATGAGCTTATTGAACATAATTTATTTTCTAGTCACGTCATCATATAGGTGATTATCTTAATAAATTATGCTAATATTATTTTATAGGATTGATAATATCAAATGGATCCTTTATATACTACATCCATCTCATATTAGATGTGCACTTTTTATTTTACATGATAATTAATAAATTTTCAGCTTTACTATTTTACCCTTCGTTCATATTAATTAGCCTCTTGAAAAAAAAAGAAATTTTGAATCTTCAAAATTTGTTTAAGCTTTTAAAGGTCATATTAATTATAGAGATAAAATGAAAAAAAATTAGTTAATTCTATCCTGATTTAGTAAGTGATCAAGTAATATAGACAAATATTTCTAGTAAGATGCATATCTAATATGAGACGGATGGAGTAATACTATGTGAAATCGAATAAAGATTATTCTCATCACTTCCAACAAATTGTCCCTCGAAAAAAATGCTTTCTAATTAATAAGGGGTTAAAATGAGTATCGTCAACTTTTTTTATTGACAGATTATTAGTTGGCGTTTGGACATGCGATATCCAATATGAAATCATGAACTATTGGGTCGGAAATTTGAGTCACGGTAAATGTAAATTGAAAAACTATTAATTTTTCTAGGTGGTGAGGTGTTATAGAAAAAAACAAAAGATTGTAAAAATATAAATAAAATCATTTATTTAATCTTATTTTTAAAATACAATAGTGAGCTACAACGTAACCTTACAAGTGATTCAGTATCTTTTTAATATTTTTTTTGATGGATTATATTCTCAAGCCCAAGTAGGATGCTAGCAACCGTACAAGTGTGGATATTTTAGAATTCTAATGGTTTGCACAGTAAGTCAAACAAGTCCTTTGAAAAATACTAAAAGACGGATTGGAATGTATATATACTTATACTAGGAGTAATAAATAATGTTAAGTACATTTCATTATTGGTTACTAATATTGTTAGCTGAGTATTATGTGAAAGAGGACAAATATTTGATAAATAAATATTTACAGTACATTTTGCAGGTTAAGTCAGCTAACAGGAGAGGCTCTCTATCGAAATTTTAGATATTTTTTCAAAGTCTATCTAAAATAAAGTTGAATGACTTTATAGCCAAAAAAAAAAGTAATGACTATTGATAGGAAAAATAATTATAAGTTCAGCGATCATTTCAGAAATTAGTTTAATTTTTTTGCTTATAATGGATGCACGTAGTTAATTAATTGATCAAATAATGTTCTGTTGTAATGTGTTATGTGTGTGTGTGTTTGTCTGTGTTTTTGTGTGAGTGTTTGTGTGTGAGAGCTGGTCCCTGGAATTTAAGTACAAAAAGGAAAAAATGCAGTTAGATGTATGACAAATAGACACGAGTAAACAACATCGCAGAAAAGTGTATTAATGTAAAGATGGATCTTGGGACTAACTCAACCTCAAAAATTAGTTCATATTTATTATTAAAACGAAGATTTTTAATTTCATAGATGATAGTCAAACTAAGTAGCTATAGCAGAAACGCCATATAACTAAATTTAAGTAGCCAAAAAAATATCTTAACTAATATTACATACTCAGAAAATTGGTCACGTTGGAAAATTATTAGTATTAGTTTGGTGTGAAATGTTCATGAAATATATTATCGCGGCTGCGGCATAAGCAAAAGTTGTCAAATAAATAATTATTGTCACGTCATCGACACATTATTTTCCCTAAAGTAGTTAGGAGAAATATTATAAAGGTGAATTGATGGCAATGAGTACTGCGCCAACAAATTAAAGGGCCAGTAGTTCAGACACAATAATTTTGTACGTACGTTGGTGTTTAATGTCATTTCCAACACTTTTCTTGGTAAAGTAGGAGAAACCAATTA